CAGTCTAAGTGTCCATTTACAGGTAACAGGAAACGCAGCGCACACACACACACACACATACACACACACAGACACACACAATGGAATGCTATTCATTCATAAAAAGAAGGAAATGCTGCCATTTGCTATAATAAAAAGCAAAACATTTGCCTGCCAGAGCTTGGTTATGGGAATAATGGGGGGTGTTGGTCAAAGTATACAAACTTTCATTTATGTAAGAAATAAGTTATGAATATCTAATGTATATCAGATGACTATAATCAATAACACTGATTATTACTTGAAATTTGATAAGAAAGCAAATTTTACGTCTTCTCATGCTCCTCAGCCCCGCACAAATGATAACTAAGGGTGGTAATGGGTGTGTTAATTGATGGCAAGAATCATTACATAATGTACAGGCATACAAAATTGTCACCTCGCATACCTTGAACATATACTATTTTGTCAATTAAATATTTTAAATTAAAAAGAATACCAAATGGAAAGACTGAGTTTTGATATTTTATGTATGTAGCAGTCAATTCAAGTGCTTTTTGTAAATGTCTGAAGTCAAGTTAGAGAAATATACCCAGAAAGGGAGATTAGTCATTTGGAGGTTGCTTGGCCTAAAATTCTCTCTGCATTAACCAGCTGCTCTTCTTCAATAAAATATTCAACCTTAGTCATTCTTTCAAATGAAACATTGAAATGTCTTAAAATTCTAAGTGACAATCTTAGATGGCAAAATAGAAGCTACTACTTGTTATTAAACAACAGAGCAGACATCAATTTGTCAGATTATCTCCCACAGAGAGAAGAACCCTAAGGGAATAGAATACACGTTTTATTGGGTGAAGGAAGAGTATAGCAGAATATGTTCTAGAACATGAGAATTTATAGAGGAAGCAGATCCAGTAGGAACAGATCATAAGCACAGACAGAGATGAAGAGGAGAGTGACAAAACTTATCTACAAACCAATCTCACTTATAAATTGCCCCAATGCAGTCCTGTGTCAAGAATGTTGATAAATTTATCCTAATGTTTGACTACTTATTTATGAGTGTGAACTCTGACACCAACAATTGGCAAGGTATTAAGAACATGTTCTAGATAGAAAAGGGTTCAGGCCAAAATTGCTACAAACAATCTGAACAGATGCCACATTTTAAACCTTCCTAATTCCTCCCTGCTCCCTTTCCTCATCCCCCACCCCACCCTGCCTTGCCAGTCATGATTTTCTTGGCAATCTGTCTCTACAAGTTATTTGCATGATTTCTCTGCTGCTTTTTCCATCTAAACTGGAAATGAACCAACTTTATGAAAACTTCTTGTCTCACTGGAAAAAAAAAAAAAAAAGCAATATGCAAGTAGTTGTTATGATCTGCCTTCCCTGATTAAATGTTCAAATCTTGATACTCATAACTACATTCGGAGACTAATCAACCCTTAATTTTGCATCCTTGTTTACTTTAAGATAATTTTGTTCATAAAATTGAATTCAAATATAGTAATGCTTTCACAAAATTAGAGGAATAATTTGTCTCAGGTTTTAAAAAATTTTTATTGTGCAATTTTTATTGTGGCATTTAATCAGTTCTTACAATATGTCAAATATATCATATTTGAATTCATCTTCTCTACCATTCTCCATTATCCCCTCTTTCCCAATTCCTAGAAGTTTCAATAGGTATCATTTTTCCACTTACATGTGTACACAGTATTTGCACCTTACTCACTCTCCTACACCCTTTCCCATCTCTTCTCCCCTCCCACTGTTACCAGCACCTCCAAGCAGAACCTGTGCCATCATCCTGTCCTCTGATTTTGTAAATGAAAAGAAAATGATATTTTTGTTTGTTTAAGATAGCTAAATGAAGAAATTACTTCTGACATTTCAATGTATGTAGATACTACAACCTGAATTAGCTACGAATTGCATTTTAATGATAAGGCACTGTGATGGGAGAAATATATATCCAATGAAAATGAAAATAAATAATGCTATAATGCTATGAACATAGAAGCTGAGAAATGCTTGTCAAAAACCACAAAGGAGCAGGGCACAGCTGAGTCATACCTAAAATCTTATCGACTTGGGAAGCTGAAATCAAGAGAATTGCTGTTCAAAGCTAGCCCAGGCAAGTAGTTGACAAGACCACATCTCCAAAATAACCAGAGCAAAAGGGACTGGAGGTGTGGCTCCAGTAGTAGAATGCCTGCTTTGCAAGTTTGAAGCCCTAAGTTCAAACTTCAGTCACACAAGGATTGGGGACATGTTTACAGGGTAAACAGCACTTTTGGTTTTTCTAATACTGCATTTAATATACTGTAGATTTTTTTGATCAAAATGTACTTTTAATATAAAATTCTGAAATACTTTTTTACAAAACATCCTCTCAATAGATTCTTCTATCTTAATGCTATACAAAAATAATCACAGTATGTAGAAGTCTCACTAGGTAAAATTTTCCATCTTTTCTTGCACATCTCATGTTTACCTGTATCTTCTTCATCTGACATGTATTGAGTACACACATCCAGCTGGGCTGAATACTGGGTAATCCCCAGAAAGACACAGCCCTCTGAGAACCTAGGACAGAAGTGTGCCTGTTGTTCCCAGCATGGAGGTTTCATAGCTGAGTAGAAAAATAGGTGAAGAAAGTGGGAGGGGAAGAACACTGAGGTGAGCAAGCATTGTAAGGCAAAGGTCTGAGGGTGGAGAATGGGATCTGTCACACCTGGCACTGCCTGCTAGAGTGTAAATAAAGAGGGCTCAAGGAAGGTACAGCACAGAAGGCCTCCCACACCACGGCCTGGAGTCAGGAGACTGAAGGACTTTCATCATGAGAATGTGTAAACATGATCAGATCTGTGTTTTAGAAATTTTCCTGGCTTGGGTCTCAGGCTTTCCTTTGTACATAGAAGAACATTTTTCTCTATCTCACATGACTGATTCATTAATAATCCAGAAACAATTTGTTAGGACTAATACTTCTTATGTTATTTCTTTGTGCCAGGCACCATGCTAATATTTTATGTGCATTTCTTTATTGCTACTGCTCTCCCAACTAATAGAGAATTGTCAGCACAAAGAGTTGAAGCAACTTGTCCAAATTCAGGCCAGCTGCTCAGTAATGGAGACACTATCCAAACTCTTTTTGCCTGAATTCTTCGATTTCACACAAAGACCACCAAACTGCTTCCTGTTCTTTCAATTCTCACTGTCCTCGATTGCTTGTCTTCAAAGTAAAACTTATTTGCCTTCTTATTTTTCTAGCTGCTATCCAGTCCATTTCTTTCCACGGAACCTTGGTCTAGAATCCATAACAACATCTGTCTTGCCACCAGTCATTTCCTCCTTAAACTTCAGCCCCATGGTTTCTGAGCCTCCTGGTATTCTGGCAAATTTAAAATATTTCACCCTTTTTACCTTAAATTAAAGTACTTTACATTATCAAACATTCCTTTGTTTTTGGAAATAGTTCTCCCCATAAATGACTCAGAGCTCTGGTCTCCCAACCTACTCCAACAGTTACCTTTTCTTTTTGTCAGTTCCTTCCTGATTTAGGAACTCTTTTCTTCTTCTATGTTCTGAGCATGCCATTAGTGGTGCTAGATCTCTGTTTCTTCTTTCTTTGTCTTTCATTCTTTCTTTTTTTTCTTTTGCTGTTCTCTCTCAATACGATCCATCCACTTTGCACTTGTTCATTAAAATTTCAATTGTCATGTAAGAATGTAACTATCTTCCTATCTTACTTTCTCAGCATTTTTCCAAGACCCAATTCAAATCAACTGAAGACTCCCAGTGGCTTGCCAGCAACATATATTTTACACAGCCCTCCAGAACACCTCTTTATTTCCAAACCAGCCACTTTCCCCAATATCTCCTTAGGGAAGTAGGAAAGGAAAGTACACAAAGGATTCATTCTGCTGTTAATCTAAGTCTTCGCTCAACCCCTCTCTAACCTGAGAGCATAGATTTCTTTGTTCATGAAAATAAATGCCAAGGAATTAAGGTGATAGAATTAAAATTGAAGCCTGCCACTGTCAGCTTGTGAGAAAAAGAGACTTGACAGTGGAAAGATCCTGGTTGGAAGCATCTGGCACACAGCGAGAGCTCCAGTTTCTGGAGGAAGGGAACCTCTGTCCCAAATTTTGATCTGAGCCTCCAAAGCCAGTGTGATTGAGTGAGTAAGCATTCCATGGAAGCAATAATCCTCCCCACCCCCAAGGTTTCCAGCACTTCTGGAAGTCCTGTGCAAAATTATGATGACATTCTTACCAGGCACTCTCAAGAGGACACACATTGACACTGATACGAAACACCAGTGCCAACAAGATTCTAACACCTCCATCCTTGATGAGATTCAGGGCTTTTGGGTTGGAACAAAATTCATATCTCATTTCCCAATAGCTGTATAATTTGTCAACAACAACAACAAAAGAAAAAGTTGAAAAAAACCCAGGCAACCAAACAAACAAAACAGTGTTTTTGGTTCTGCTCCTCCTCCTCACCTACTGGTCCTGAGATGGAATGTCAAATAAAAACTTTGAGACAAATCAGCAACCCCCTCTCACTAACCCCCCCACCATGTTTCCCCTCTCACTAATATCCCCCCATGTTTTTATTTGTTTGTGCCTTTGTTGCTGCTTGTTTGTTTTTGTTGCAGGACTGGAGGAGGAATCCCAGCTCCCTGCTCCCTGGCCTCCCCTAAGCTCTGCTATCTCGGAGTTGCTCTTTAGGGCACTGAAGGAAACTCTCAGAAAGGACTTCTGTGCTTTTCTTAGGTCCATGCTCTGCCAGCCTTGCAGCTGGAGGCTGTGGGAGGCTCTGACCCGGGATTGGCTACGCGGGAAGCCCAGGAGGCAGGGGCAAAGATCGCGGAGCCTGGTGTCCTAGAGCTCAGGAGCAGGTGACACAGTCACGGGCCTGACAGCCGCATCCCCGCCCACCGGGCCGCAAGCGCGAGCGCAGGAGCCATAAAAGCCGCGGCCGCGCACAGACGCGGACTTGCCCACCGCGCGCCCAGCAGCAGCGCACCATGCACGTGAACGGCAAAGTGGCGCTAGTGACCGGAGCCGCGCAGGGCATAGGCAGAGCCTTTGCAGAGGCGCTGCTGCACAAGGGCGCTAAGGTAAGTCCCTGCCCATCCCTCCACACACCTAGGGGCTCCGGGGAGATTGGGTGCGCGCCCCGCACGCCCACCCGGCCCCTTCCAAACGCTGTGGGAGCTGGAGGCTCCAGAGCAAACCTTGAGGGCGGCTGCAAAAGAACCCGAACATTAATTGCCACACTTCAGGTCTCGTTTATTTATTGTGTGTGTGTGTGTGTGTGTGTGTGTGTGTGTGTGTGTGTGTGTGTCAGTTTCACAAATGCGCAGGACCTTGATTTCTCTCCCCTTGTTTGTAGGTAGCGCTGGTAGACTGGAACCTTGAAGCAGGTGTGAAGTGTAAGGCTGCCCTCGATGAGCAGTTTGAACCTCAGAAGACTCTGTTCATCCAGTGTGATGTGGCTGACCAGGAACAGCTGAGAGGTAAGACAGGGGATCAATCCATCAACTCTAAACATGCTCCCAACAAGCAATGACCTGAAGCAGCCCAGGCAAGAGAGCTGGCCAAGGCAGAGAGCCAGGGCTGCTGCCACCTGGAGAGGAACAGTATCTTTAGCTCCAAAAGATAGCTTAGACTGTTCGGTTTCCTACTGGCAACCCAAATCATAAAAAACTGAGGAAAGACAAGACTGCTGGAGACAATCTTTTATTTTAGTCCTTTGGCAGCACACAATGTAATCACAACTCTTTGTTTATCGAAAGACAGTGCTGCTGTGGTAATTACTAAATGATTGAACTTGCAGAGGAAACTTGGACGCTAAAATAGTCTAAGGAACTGTGGCAAACAACTTCCCTGACAAAGCTGGAAGACAGAATCCAGTGACAATCAAATGTGGCAGTGTTTTTCTTTGAAACATATCAGAGTACAAGTTCAAGGATCATGGTCCTAGGCATGCTAGATGCTTGTAACCGGATGTTATCTCTGTTTTTTCCCCTATGAGATGGTACTTTAAAGGAATAACTGTGCGGTGTTAGAATGGGGAAAGTCTCTATCAGCCTTTCCTCATTGCCTTCCTGTTTCTCTGTACTCTCTTAAAATACACCGATCTACTTGTGAAATATGACTGACAATATGGGCAGAGACAAAAAATTTCTGATTGTTTAGAAGGCTCAAAAGATACTTCTGAAAGAAATCACTCTTTTAAAGAAAAATAGAAAAATACAATACTTCTGTTTTACAGAGGCAGAATATAAGGAAGTCAATTATGACTGCAATGGGAAAAATAAAATAAATAAATTAGACATACGTGATTAAGAAACCAGTTTCCCCCTGAGAGGGGATTTTACTCTGGAGTTGTGGAGAGTAGACCACAGGATGCAAGAGGGGAAAGAAAAAGAAAAATCAGTATTCCCTGGTTGACCTTTTCTGGAACCAACTTAATATCTTAAGAAACAGGTTTAAAATTTCCATGGAAAAGTAAACAGTTTTTATTTTTTGTTGTTGTTTTCCATTCCACTACAGTGTTTGTAAAAAGCTTCATGTTAGATAGCTTTTAGAATGTTTTTAGCAAGTAACTTGCATAACAATTTGAGAACTTTTTAATCCAAGCCTTCCCACATGTGTTTCATGGTTGTTAGTAGCCTTGTGAATTGGTTTTGATTTTGTGTTGTTGCTCTGCTTTTTAAAGGAACCCAAGTGCTAGCCAGGAGATCTAAGAATATATTTCTATGCTATGGAAGAACAGTCACAATTGTTATCCATAGTCTGTAGTAATAGAACTGGAATGGATGGTGACAGACCCATGGAAACAGTTTCAGTGACTAGAACTATACAAAAAGCTGCTTTGAGAAATAATGTGTTTCTAAATAGTAAGGTGGAAAAGCTAAGCTTGAACTGGCTAAAGAGTGTGTGCTAGAATTGGACATGTGGTCGGACAAGGTGATGGGTGACATTCAGATCTTGGAGTCCACCCAAACTTTTACCTGATTGAACATAGCTTTTATACAATAATTTATACCAATAATGTAGAATTATAGTAATAGTGAGGATGTAGGAATGACTAAAACTGTGTTAGAGGAGAAAAGTTGTGTTAATCTAACACTCCGTGAACATGTTGTAAGTTATTTTAAAAGGATGTCTGTTATAGTCTATGCCATAGGTCTCCAATAATTTCTTGGAAATAAAGTGGTGCTGGTTGCTCATATTGACTTCAAAGAGCTCTTAGCAAAGGATGCCCAGTTCTCAAATTTCATCCATTAACTTATTGATTTTAGGGCTTCAATGTGCACATGAATAATTTAAGGGTTATTAAATCAGAATTGAAGATTCAGATTCAATTTCTGCATTTCTAACAAACTCACAGATAACATTGAGTGATGCTCATGGTCTGTAAACCACATGTTGAGAAGCAAGGAATTAGGTCAGAGCTTACAAGTCTAATTTTTACTATGAGGGTAACTAAATAAAATTCATGTTATAGAGCATGATTTAAACATGTACATGAAAAATAAAAGAATACCTATAATGTTTGTTTTTTTAATTAGATACTTTTAGAAAAGTCATAGACCACTTTGGAAGATTGGATATTTTGGTCAATAATGCTGGAGTGAATAATGAGAAAAACTGGGAAAAAACTCTTCAAATTAACTTGGTAAGCTTTCTTAGCCATGTTTATTGCCTAAAAGTATTTAGTAACATGATGTTTATAAGGAATAAAGATTGTCTTATTCATAGGAACAAAACAATGACATACAAGTAAGAAAGTAGAAGTTACAGAATGTTAAAGACAAAGCCGGATCTTTTATGAAAAGGAAGACATTGAATGTTTATCATTATGAATATAAGCCCGTGTTTGCTTAATTCAGGGGATTTAGCATCCTCCAACCCAGAAGTCCAAATGGCCTGCCACTTGTGTTTATATGTCCTGCAAGCCAAAAATGACTTTTATATTTTTTAAGTTTTGGAAAAATAACAATATGAAACATATAAATATATGAATTGAATTTCAGTGCACCATATAGTTTTATTGGAGCACAACCTCATTCATTTCATTCATTTGGTTATGTATTGCCAGTGGCTGATTCTGTGCTATAATGGCAGAGTTGAATGCTGTGACAGAAATCCTGTAGCTCGTAATGGGTAAAATATTTACTATCTGGCGCTTGCAAAAAAAAGCTTGCTAAATTCTGACTTCATTTGTTTTATTTAGAAAATAATTTTTTTAACAGCACGGGTTTGCACTCAGAGCCTCACCTTCAGGCAAGTGCTCCATTACATGAAGTCACCCCAGTCCATTTACTTTTAGTATTTTTTCAGATAGGGTCTCTTGCTTTTGCCTGGGCCATCCTCTGACTCCAGTTCTCCTACTTCCCTTACCTCCTGCCCCACATTCCAAGTAGCTGGAATTACAGAAATGAGCCACCATGCCTGTATTAGAAGATAATCATAATGAAATGGTGGAAAAATAGCATAAAACAAGGTAAAAGTGACAACTGAACTTTGTAGTTAGTAAGATTTTTATCCTGAAAGTCGTTGAATGTGTGTGGTGTGTGTGTATGGTGTGTGTATGTAATTTACACAATGTCTGATGATTATTTGTCTCCTAACTAAATTGCAAAAACATCAGATGGACTTTACTTAGCATGACCCAGGCCTTGCTCAGGTTATTATTACTTGTCTTGCAAAATGAGCACGTGTAGATAGAGTACAAAGTGGCCACTGTGTGGGTAAGTGGATAAAGAATATCCTCTTATTTCATAAATACCTTCCTAGTTGAGTGTAAACTTCTTAAAAATAGGAACCATAGGAAACCATGTTTTTGTTTTTGTTCCTCTCTCAGCAATCAGCACAATATCTTGAAGATAGTGCTTAGTCAGTAAATCTTTGGCCTTAATTGAAATTCCCATCATCAATTACTTAGCTGTAATAACTTCAGTGGCAGTAACAAGAATTGTACTACCTCACAAAAGAGATGAATAGATAAGCCTCACTTTGATAAAGATACAAAATCCTCCCCAAAACTGACACATTCCTAAATTCTTTTTATACAAGCAGCCTCCTTGGAATTATTTAAAAAATTGGTCACTAGTGTTGCTGGTTCATTGTATTTGGAAATTATTTTTAAACTATTGGTCAAATTTCCAAATTTTCCAAATTATTTTCTAGGATTTGAATTGAAAATATTACACTCACACATGCACACACACAGAGATATTTGGAGAGACCATCTCTTGGCTAAGTCTTACTTTATTATAGAATATTAATATTTAAAACACCATTGGCTTTCCTTAGATAATATTTATAGTTAATTGTTATGATAATTATGTCTCTATAAATTATATTAGCTTATGATTCTGTTGTTTGTAATGTCTCTATTTTGTTTGGATTTCAATTATACCTTTGCTTTCTTTTATCTCTTTTAAATGTCAGGTTTTGACCACAAGGTATTGGTATATCAAATAATAAACATCAGTTTGCATACTCTCTCAGTAATTCTGACAGTTTGAACTCTGTATATTATACACTCATAATATTCAATGCCTAAACTGCTGGTGATGATTAATTTATTGATACTTGATGTTTTAGTGTTATACACCTGTTTGCTGCCTATAATATTTTTGATCCACCTTATAGTTCCAGATATAGAATTAGTGCCTCATTTTCTTTTGCTTTACACTTACTTAGGTATTTGTTTTTCCATTCCTTTATTTTGAAAATGTAAATAATCTTTTATGCTAAATCTATCTCTTGCTGATGTAGTTGTGTGACATCTTATTTTGTAAACTGCGTCTGGGTACATCTGCCTTTTTTATATTTGTGAATTTAAGCCACTTGTATTTATTTTTACTTTTTATTTTACATTTTAATATTTACTGGTTTCTTTTATTTTCTTTTATCTTTTATTATTTTTCTATTCCTTTTCTAAATCCACTGGACAACTTTAGATATTTTTTTCTGGTGGTGAGAAACCCTACATTTTTAAAATTTTTAGTGGTTACCCCTGACATCCCCATGATTTATTAAGAACCATACTTCATTACATACTTTGCTGCCTGCTAAAAATTGTGTTTTGCATATACGGTTAGTTGAAATTGTTGGAATTTTTAAAAACATGCCACTTTCCAAAAACACATGAAGTCTCAAGGATTTTTTTGAATCTAGTTATTCCAGTGAAAACACACAAATTGCCCAACAGTTTTCTCCCTTCCACATTCCTATTGACATTTTCAATGATTTCATCAGTAATTACTACAAAAGATAAAGATAAATGTCACTAAGATGTAAAGATCCTATGTCAATGCATTCATTAATAGACACCTATTGTATCTTTTCTCTGAGAAATCAGCTGGCAGTAACAGTATGCAATGACTAGAGTTAATGTAAAGAAATATGAAAATATTCACAAAGGTATAGAATTAAAGTGATTTGTCCTTCTCCAGCTAAGAAAGCATATTTGTTTTCATGCAGACTGTGTGACTAAACACCTGCTGCAAGCTGGAAAGTCCCTACATCTTCTATATAAAGGAAAACATGGAGGACCAGGGAAATTGTATTGTGACCACTTTGGTTACAACTAACTCTCTTGGGTCCTTCCACACTGAAATTTAACTAGCCTAAATTTTTCTTGGGATCTGCTGACATAAGCCACTTCTTAGCTTAAATTAAGGTTTTGTTTAACTTTACATGGAGAGAACAAGACATAATCTTTGTTAGCCCTATAGAGCTTAAGTATGTGTTATTTTCTTAAGTACCTCCACCCATTGCAAAGGTAAATTAGAGGCTGACCAATCCTTCTTTTGCCAACTTGATTATCTCTGCCAGTACAATGCAAATATTTGTAAGTAGTTCAATTAACCTTTTTTTCCGTCTGAGTATAATTAGCGTTCTTGGTCTTATACAATTCTGTGCTTGTCATTTTACATGATTTTTCATATTACTGCCCAGGTCAAGAGTAAGTAATAGGTTAAAGGACTTCATCACATGTCTCCTATCTCTCTTTTTTCAAGTATGTGTGTTGCCATTTAATCCAGGGCCTTGCATGTGCTAAGCATCTGCTCTTCCATTGAGCTGTATACCCCCAACCCCATTCCCCTTATGTCACCCTCTTCCTACCATATATTTATACCATTCTTATTGGGCTTACCAATTTAGTAGAATTATTTTATACCCAGGTAATTTATGCTAGCAAACCATAAGTTCTTTCTAGGCAGAGAACTATTCTTTTGTGTCCTTATAGAGTAAAAGTTCAATTAATATGTTTTGCATAAATTACCATTCTGTGATATTTTGCATACATGAGTATTCTTTTCTGTGTTTTAGTACAAAATGTTTAGGTGATTTCCTAACAAATCCGTGCTGCCAAACCACATCATCTGTCCTTCCACTTTCCTTACTTACCCAGTTTAACCCATCCTTATTCTTCACTCTGCTGATATCACCACTTCTATTACAAGAAATACACTAAAGCTTTTCCCAGTCTTTTGTTTCACTACACTGTTCTTTGCTTCCTCCTTAGTCTGAAGCCAGCAACATCAGTGTTATTTACAGCTGCTTAGAGCTACAAAGAAATTTCAAGAAAAAAAATGAGCTTTTGTAAAACTATTGAAGGTCTTGCTGGTCATTGGGAAGAGGTAGACTGAACTTGGAATATTTGTGAGGCAATTCTGTAATGTACTTCTTTCACTTTTATCTTTTTGAAATTTAATAAGCCTAAATAACTCATCCCTACTCAACTGGAAATTATAACCTAATTTGAACATAAAACTAGCATATATTGAATCCTTTAGTATAGTCAATTAAAATTAAACAGAACAGATGGCTACTGCTGGTAATTTTGCTTTGCTCTCTACAAATACACAATTAACTAAAGACTTGCTCTGGAAAAGGGTATGTATTTGGAATTAGTCAAAACTAAAGGTCAGTTCTAAATCTACAATTTATGAACTGTTACTTAATTTTCCTGATCTTGAATTTCCCAGATTGTGGAAGGAAAAAGATAAACTCCCTATATCTGAGGACTAGTAACTTAAGTCACAATTTATGTGAAGAACAGAGTACAGTGTTCTTGCATAATAATATTGACTCAGTAAATAGCATTTCCTTCCAAATATTAAAATCTACATTTTCTCACATCTCTTTTTATCTGAAGTAAGTTCTTTGCCCTGCTCTACCTCTAATTAGTTAAGGACATGGATAGAAACACTGTTCTTAACTTTGCTCCCTTTTTTTTGGTTACAGGAGAGGTCAATTGCAAAGTAAGTTAGTAATTATCTACTGCCATTTCTACTCTATAATATTTAAAGATCCAATTGACCTGGGAAAGTTTGCTAAATGATAAGTAACTTTCTTAAAGAAGAAGGCAATAATATTTAGCACTGTAACAAAGGAAAAATAGCAAATTTCTGAACATGAAAAAATAAAGGATGAAGGATGATTTCAGAAAACATGATCATCTCCATTGTTTGAATGCTGGACTGGAGAAAATTCAAGAACCCTGAAAAACAAAGTTACATGGTTTAGATTGCCAGAATGTTTTACTGCAGGAACCATAAATAAACTAGGAGGAACTACAAAGCGGAGGGAGTTGAGATAGGGGGAATGGAGAAATGACTGATTGGGAAATTCAGTAGTGAAAAACTATGTGTGTGGATTTGTGTGTGTCAGGAAGTCATAATAACTGGTAAGAGAGGTAACAAGTAATATATTACCATTTGACCTTTCATGGTTGTTAGTAGTGGGATGAATTCAAGTATGATACATTTAATACATTGTAAGAACTTTTGTAAATGCCATAATGTACCCCATCCAGCACAACAATAAAAAAATTAAAAATGGAAAAACAAGTCAAGTACAGATTTTCAATTCCCTTCACAGAGTGGGTTAAAATAATGATATAGATTCTAGTTATTAGGAGTATCTAGAAATGCTTACAGTTTTCTAGATAAAAGTATTATATTCTATGATTTTCTAATATATGTTATCTAGGATAAGGAAAACACTGTTACAATAAAGGAGACGTAAAGTATGATTTATACACAACCAAAGCATTAGAACCCAAGCATCGTGTACTTCTTTGAAAAGTTATTCAACAATTAAATGGACAAAAATACATTCCCTTCTCCTCCAAAGACCTAGAAATTTTGCATTTTAAAAAACAAAAATAAAGCTGAAATCTTCCCAAATTTTCTATCTGGCTAATTTTGTAAATGATGAAAATACAAAACCAGGGTGTCAAGAATCTATACACAATGGAATTTTATGCAGCCACAAAGAAGAACAAAATGTTATCATTCGCTGGTAAATGGATGGAATTGGAGAACATCATTCTGAGTGAGGTTAGCCTGGCCCAAAAGACCAAAAATCGTATGTTCTCCCTCATCTGTGGACATTAGATCAAGGGCAAACACAGCAATGGGATTGGACTATGAGCACATGATAAAAGCGAGAGCACACAAGGAAGGGGTGAGGATAGGTAAGACACCTAAAAAATTAGCTAGCATTTGTTGCCCTTAACGCAGAGAAACTAAAGCAGATACCTTAAAAGCAACTGAGGCCAATAGGAAAAGGGGAACAGGAACTAGAGAAAAGGTTAGATCAAAAAGAATTAACCTAGAAGGTAACACCCACGCACAGGAAATCAATATGAGTCAATGCCCTGTATAGCTATCCTTATCTCAATCAGCAAAAACCCTTGTTCCTTCCTATTATTCCTTATACTCTCTCTACAACAAAATTAGAAATAAGGGCAAAATAGTTTCTGCTGGGTATTGAGGGGGTGGGGGGGAAGTGAGGGGGCGGAGTGGGTGGTAAGGGACGGGGTGGGGACGGGGGAGAAATGAACCAAACCTTGTATGCACATATGAATAATAAAAGAAAAAAAAAGCATAAATACTTGAGAATAAAAGCATAGCCCCAATGCATATAAACAGAAATTCTGTTCATATATGCTGGACACTTGGGCAGAAAATAACAGAATCTGACTGACTTCAGTATCTTCAGCCATTGACATTTTCCATTCTTATATAAACAATAAATGTTTCCCTTTTCCTTTTAAAAGAGAATCATGTGGAGATTTTATTCATTCTCCCTAGGCCTATATAAAAATAAACTGACAAATGGCTCAAATAAATAGATTTTCCAATTTACCTTTTTGTTTTGGAATTATTACAAAAGAATTTCATCTCTGAATACTTGTCAAGGAAGAACTTTTATAAAATAAAAAGAACTCAACACCAATGTGGGCCCTCAGTTTCAGAATCATTGTCTATGGAATCATTTTCTTTGCTGTATTATAAAACATGAAAAAGTTAGGAATTAAGATGTTAAAAAGGATTTTCCACTTTTTAATCTGAGCTCGAAAAGAAAGGAGTTCCAGAAAAAAAAACGGAGAATTTGATTTTCAAATATCAGTCAGTTTACCTCTCAGTTCCTTTCTAGTAGTAGTGAACTCTTAAGTGTTATAACAAAAGCAGGAATAACTCCAGTACCTGGAGTTAAGTAGCAAAATTAAGCTATCAAAAGGATAACTGTAAGCAGTGATGAATAAAATGATAAGCAGTACTGAAAAAAATGAGTCTAAGTAGAAGATAATCTTCATTCAAACCAAACTAGAAAAAAAAAAAAAAACAATGATGTGGTTTTAGACAAAATAAGACTTCAGGATTATTTGATACTGCAGATCAGCCATAGCATTGGGACCAGGGCTCTTTTTATCTCACTTCCCTGTCATCTTTTACATTGGTTTCATCATATGATTTGAGCACTGACTATTCATTCCAGTTATCACACATGTACAGAACAGTGTACAGAGTATAATGAATCCATTTCTTGTACCTTTTCTTAAGAACAACAAAACTTTTGTCAACAGTATTCTGTCCCTCACCTCTCTCATATCCACCTGACTGCCCCTTAGGTGTCACTTGCCAGAACTGGGTCCTAGGCTGGCCCCAAACCACCTGCTGTCAAGGACAATGGGACTTCTGGGACTGAATTTTTATTAAGTGATGTCTACATTAAAGCTGGGAAGATGTAGACACAAATGAAAATAGGAGTTTTATTAGAAAGAAAAGAGGAGAAAAGGAAAACTTTTCCTTTTTAAGACATCCACTATTCTGTATTGCAAAATCCAAGAAGAATAAATAGTGAGATGAATGTGGACTAGTTGGATATGAGAACCATGTGTGAGAAGGGCAAATCAATTCATATCCAGTATTTAGAAAAGAAAAAAGAAGGTGTATAATTCTTAAAGATGCTAAGAATGGAGTTAAATTGATAGAACACTATTGGAATACAAGCTTTATCATAAAATCTCATATTGGGCAACTAAGTGAAGGGAAATTATCAGGAATATGACAAGCTACATAACTATTAAGCAAATCAAAGATGAAATCAAGATTAATGACTAGATTTAAATTTTTTAAGCCTTAAAAGAACTTTCATTTATAACTTGAAGAAATCTCCATAGATATCTGCAATGACAGTAATAACTTTGGTGTATGAATATGTGATAAGACTAATTGATATATTACTTTTTCCATTTATGCATCTGGATTAGGTTTCTGTTATTGATGCAACCTATCTTGGTTTGGATTACATGAGTAAGCAAAATGGAGGTGACGGTGGCATCATTATCAATATGTCATCTTTAGCAGGTAAGGACAGTTATTATGGTACTAGTGACATTTTCTTATTTTCAATTTGAAGACTTACAAAACTAAATCTTTAAAGTATATTTATCATATTTACCAACTAAGGTTTGAAATTGAAATTTTGATAGTTTTTATTTTTTCTAGTTCTATAGGATTCTGTATTGTATAATATCAAAGTTTGAATATTATGTTTAAGTTGCATCTTTTCAAGTTATCTTACTGCAGTACCATATACACATATATATGCATATATGTATACACACACACACACACCATGTACAGATGTACACACACACATTTTCCCAGAATTACTGATTTTCAAAGGTTATTGTGTCACTCCTAAGCAATATCGTACATGAAAGCACCTTCAACAAAATAAAAAGAACTGCAGTGAAGTCAAGCTATCTATTCCCATGTGGTTTTTCAAATTGTGTGATTTTCAAATATGGCATATATAGTACTCGGGATATGTTAAGCTGCTGGAATATTCACACCCAAACATGTCATAGTATCAATATAGTATAAGTTTTTTTGTCACCATATATCCTGTTGTAGGTACTTCTGTGTGCAGTCATTTGGAAAACCTGGCTAACAGAAGGTCTGTTTTTTCAACATGGAGCTTCTGAGGTTGCTCTGGAACTGGTGGGCTCCCTTCTTTCTAGTACAATGAGTAAAAGATACGTGGTCACTTTCTCAAACACCAAAGTCCATTAAGGCAAACCTCACTTCTGGAAAATAAATGCTTGATGTGGGCATAAGAAATAAAGTGAATTTCAATGGATAACTGACTATTTTTGCCAACCCAATGATTAATGGATTGGTGCCACACAAGCAATCCAAAACTATATTTCATCCAGAACAATATAATTTAGTAGTGGCTCATACTGTATGCCTCAATGACAAGAACTTAATCAAGTGACTTTATTTGTAAATCCCTAGGAAAAAAATCATCAGTTTCTTGAATAGCTCAAGTGAAATTATAAAGTTTTAAAATCTTTGGCTGGAATCATGACTCAAGTAGTAGAGCATCTGTCTGGCAAGTACAACGCCCTGAGTTTCACAGGACTTCGAAAAAGTATAATCTGATCAATATTGACAGCAAATCTAAATTATTCACATCTAAAACTAGGAAGACATTATTAAATGATCTGATTGTTTTCAGTTAGAGTGGTGATTTCAGAATAGAAATTATTCTACCTCCCTACACACACACCTTGTCCTTCTCCTACCACCTTCAAGAGGATTTGGGGAACCCATAGTAGTCAGATGAATAATATTTCAAGGTATTTAAAGGTGATGACATGTTTCTCATTCTTTTAGTAATCATTGTCAGATGATCCTTAAAACACTATAAAGCCACCACATGGGGAGATGTAGAAATATCCTTCATTAAACATTCTGAAAAGTAAACCAGCATCTCATTTTTTAGTTAATTAAAGTCAAAATGCTAAGTGCTATTACAAACCTAATTCTATAAACAGGGCTTGATTTTAGGTTCCTGGAAATTTATACCCTAAAAGCAAATAGGCAAAACTAAATGTATACTTTTTTTCAGATAAAATCTAAAGAATATCATATAAAGGACTAGAGAATTAATGGAGAATATTTACCATTTTCTTAAAGGTTTAAATGTGTGAAAACTGAGGCTGTGATCAAGAGATAACTTATGGATTCTATAAAGCTATGGAGGGCCAGGAAAGCTGGAGGAGCCCTGAGCACTGTGCACTGTTGCTTATGGCACTGCCTGTTATCACTGGAAGCACTGTTACATTCTTGGAAAGGCTGGATCAGTTTTTAGGACTCTCTGGGAAAGAGTCCAAGCATATCAGTTGTACTTGCTCCAAAGAGCAAGAATAGGGAGATGCCGTGTAACGCTACTGACTTTCATCCAATTAAATTATTTAAATATATAACAATTAACAAATATGGAGTACTTCCTGTTTACTTCTGAATTGTCAGCTTTTCATCACTATGACTAAATACCAGAACAAACTTCTAAACAGAAAAGTTTTATTGTGACACAGGGTTCAGGAAGTTCTGGAGGCTCTGGGTCAAGATCAGGCAGATTATGGCTTTGGACATCTTGCAGAGTCAGCACATCATGTTAGGAGTGTGCAGTCAAGCAAACCACTTGCATCACAAGCGATCGGATCCCCCAGTTCCTTTTGAGACTATCCCCAGTAACGTAAGGACCTTCCATAAGGCCCCTCCTCCTAATGGTTTAATTCCCTTCCATAGTGCTACCCTAGAGACCAAGCCTTCAACACGTTCCTTTGTGAGACCTGCAGATTATAGCAACACGGTACCATTTTAAACACTGCGTGTGCATTATCTCACTGAATCCTTATAAGAACCCTGTGAAGCAGATTCAGAAATCTCCATGTGGAAACTAAGGCAGGAGTGTTGACATAGCTTGCCCAACTTCACACAGCAAGTAAGCAGCAAAGCTGAAATTCACACTCAAAGTCTGATGCAAGTCTTGTTAAATCTTAACTTCTAGATCATCTGTCTGTGTGTTTACCTATTAAATCTACCCATCTTTCTGAGTTTATCAGCCTAATAGCAAAGTAAAATAAATTGAAACCCTCACTTGAATAAATCAGTTAAATATGCTCATTTCTTCAGAACTCATGGGCACTGCTTTAATCTAAATGCTGTATGACTAAACCTTCAAGGAAATCTTAAACTTTTGTCCCACTTAATACACCTAGTAAAGTCTCAAAACTTTTAGAGAGCTTACTGGAATCACAAGCCAAAACATGCCTTTGAGAAGAGCAATTTAAGGTCCACTATTGGATGTCCATTTTGCTTTCTTGGTCAAGAGGTCTTTTACATTCTACCCATCACTGGGGGCTAATTCTTTTCTTACTTATCTCAGACTATATATTTGTAACAATGTGTGAGTCTCTCTGTGTTCATGCAGATAAACAATTGTTATAAAATCAGTGATAAGATTGTTTTTATTTTAATTTACCTTTGCTGCACTGTTACAATCTAATGACTATTATAGCATTCCAAATTGTTTCTTCCTCTGGTTTTCATCCCAACCTGCAAGGCAACCTCATATAAAATCTTTACTTAGTTTATCTCTGTCCACTCTGCTTGGCTTTTAACCTTCACCAGTTTGTCCTTCTGTGCCAACCTTCACCCCTAGCATGTTTTTACCATTCCTTGTCATTGTCCTTTCTGGTTCATCTCTTCCCACCCAGGGTTTTCACTGACATGCCTTCATCTCACAGTAAGGCTTGAAAAGAGGAGCCATCACTCTTCATCATTTTTACAAAATATTTGATGCTGTTGAGTCATAGCATGTAGGTAGAAGTCAGAGGACCATAAAAAATCTCACAGGAGTTATCAAAATCAAAGTACCCCTGATGTTTACTTCCTGTGTGTTTTCTAAACCTTCCTTTATTGGTGATGTTTTCTGTTCACTCTAGTAAAGGCATAGCTGTGGGTAGTATTCAGCTCAACTAGGATTATCCTCATGATCTTTTACATTGATTCAGTGGAGTCTTTCACTGTCATAGTAAAACTTCATATTGACACACTGGTTTGGGGAGAGAGGTTATTGCATAATGGCCACTGGCACAGAGTTTCAAGTGCAATTAGTGGGCTTAATGAATACCAGAGCAAAGTGGAGAGAAGTTCCTGCAAGTACTGAGAGGTGAGTGTGTTCCAGTGTGCAGCTTCAGAAGTGGTTCTGATCATTTTTGATGACATGTTAGTTTTGTTGGGAATATAATGTAAAAGCATGCACTAATTTTGCCACATTGGTCCTTAACTAGTAGAAAAAATGTAGGAAGGAACACTAGAGAAGAATCAAGTCTGCTTTAATACAGATAATTAAACAAGTATGCTCCCCTAAGAGTCAAATGTGAGATAAAACACTGTTCCTTCATCTGTGCAACAAAAGTTAGAAAAGCACATGGTACCACCCTCTTCAAATACTCTTATAGTAAGGAAAGGGGATTAATACATATTTACAACTACCATTTTGCAGGCATTGTGGTAAATTTGTCTATATGATACCACACTTAGCTTGTAGAAGTTTCTACAATAGAGGTCAATTTAATTACCCCCAATTTATATTTGCAACTAATCTCAAATAAGTCACTAACTTAAAAATGTGGTGAGAATGAGAAATTGTAATAAATATAACTTTATTTTGCTTTATGTCATAAAATTGATGAATTGGTTTTGTGTTGCCTGGACCTTAAATGGCTCAAATCACAGCTGTCATGAATATGTGATACACTCTTCCTTCTTAGCACTGCCATAATGATCCTTACCTGTCCATGGAATCTGGTATCTGTTGTGCTGCCTTTTGTCTTAAAATAATTAGGGAGACACATATTAGAAGGAATCAGTAAGAAAAGCTGATTAATATTTATTAATGAACCTTTGGGTAAATGAATAAACAATTTAGGATTTCTAGTACAGGAAAAAGAGAGCTATAAGGAAATCAAGTTTTCCAGAACAGATCTTCTCCAATTTTAATGTATTTAAACATTACATAATGACTTTGTCTGATGCAGATTCTGATCTTGTAGCACTGTTTTTGGTCCTGAAGTTCTGCTCCCATATACCTTGATACCTGGGCCTCATTTTCAGAAGCTGTCTTCTGGTATGCTTGGGGGATTACATGAGTAGTTAAGAAGCTCCTCTCAGTTTCTTCTGACCACAGCATCATCAATGACTGAACTCTTAGGAAGGAGGATTTTGGTGTGACACTAAGAGGAGCTTTCTGAAAATTAATCACCAGAAAGTATTATTGGATTTATCTTTTTGGAAAGATTTTTGTTAGAAAAAGTATAGTGGTTCTGAAAACTTAAGTCAGTTTTTAATGTCATTGTCATACTTTAAAACAACTGCATGGGAAACCTAACGATGAGAAGAAAAAAAGCAGCATCACAGGGCTGGAAAAGTTGCTAGTTCAGTCCTTTCAGTGCTTGTCTGGCATGTGGGAGGCCCTGGGCTCCATCCCCAGCATAGAAAGAGAAAGG